GTTATGTAAAAGGAGCTTGAAAATTTTGTAAAATGCTTTCATGGCAAGTTCCCAGTAGATTTGAATGTGGCAGAATGAACCAGAAGACCTTACGTTAGCTTTCTGGCCAGATAATAACTACTCTTAGAAATCTCTGTAAAAGCTTCAGACGTTTGGGAAAACCAGTATTTTTGAAGAAGTAAGAGTCCTCCTGGGGTTTCACAGAGACAGTTATTCAGAAAAATGAACCCAGAATTTTCCACTTAAATCGGCAGATGAAAGTAATGGTGAAGACAGGCAGTAGTGCTTTCTTCCCAGAGACATAGTGCAGTTCTGTTTTTTCCTCCCCAAGCCTCTGTTCTCTGCTCACCTTGAAGATTAGTCCCTATTGCTGTAGCTCATAGATTCATTAGTATATATTGTGGACATACATGTTCAAGGGACTATTACAGTTAGTATAAAAAAATCAAAAGTATAGGAATGTGTATATAAATGGCATATAGGGTAAAAAATTCATAGTTTTCGAGAGAAACCTGGATGAAGAGCTATGCAGCTTGACAGAAGGGGCTGTTTGGGTTTGCAGATCAGATCTCCCTGCCACAGTGGCAGGAAAGCTCCCTGTGCAGGGCGCTGGGGAGGGTTTGAACATATGGGGAGAGAGGAAAGAACCTGTAAAAAACAATGGGATGGATATCAGGAAGAGCAATTCCTGTACCGTAGCTTTGTGTGGAGTTCCCAGAAAGATTTGTCAAAAGCAAATAGCAGAGGGTCTTCCATTCCGTGTTAGAACCTTAGTTTAGACTTCGCTCTGCAGCGCATCTGCACTGGGGATTTGAGTTTGGGAGGAGCAGTGTCCTTCGGTAAGTTTTATTCGTCAGGAGTAGGTAAGATCAATGAAAGGGTGCTAGATCAGATGAAGTACCCTGTGAGGAACTATTACACTGCTCCAGGCAATTCTTAATGGAGAAACTGAACTGCACATCTCTAGCTTTCAGAGCAGAATTGTATTTTATTTGAAAGCATAACTAGGAGTGAAATACAATGTATGAAAATCTATAAAAAGAATATTAGCTAACATTGATTGAATGAGTGTCTACTCTGTGCCCAGCTTTATTTGAGAACTTTGCCATTTATTACCTGAATTAGTTCTTACTCTGATGTAGATGAGGACATTGAGACCTAGAGAGCTGGAGTCTCTCACCCAAATCATGCAGTCAGTGACTGGCCAGAACCGACTCTCTGTCAGTGTGAATTCACATCACATTGCTTTCACAAGAATTCATGATTGGAAACTTTCAAATAATAACTCCCACCAATGTTCTTGACACAGGACTCATTTTAGAAACATTTATTTTTATACAAAATGTTTCTGAGGTTGCAGCTATGATATAAAGCTAAGTGAACAATAAGTCAAACCAAATTGTATAAAACAATCATGTTTCAAAATGAGGTGAAATTGACAGGGTTTTCTAAAGTTTCTGGGTGGTAGTAATTCCTTAAGTAGAGTCACATCAATGTGTCAGGCATAAAGATTCTAATAGAAAAACAACTGTCAGCTTTAAAGAAAACCCATTGAAATTTGGCCTGAAGAAATCAATGAGTCTTTACTATTAAAAGCCAGTGTTTCCAGTGGTTTGGATCAAATGCTTTTTTAAAAGGGCACATTTGCAACTCACTGAATCAATTTCTGGAGTAGAGTGTGCTCAAGATTGAGATGCACGATATGAACCCCTTGTGTCTGGAAACGGAGATTGTGCTTTTCAGATGAGGTTAGAACTTCTGTGCTTACTTGACTGATTTCCCACTGCTCATCACGGCACACTGCGGAAGGTAAAAACACTCTGCACCCTCTATGAGGACTTAATGCAAAGTAGGTAACAGGCATGTCTCCATGAAGAGTTTGGACATAGAATTAGACCTGTGATTAGTTGAAAGAAATAGCTACCTAATTACAAATTTGTGAAACCAATTCTCACATTGGCCAACAGAGGGAGACACAGGCTATGGAATGTGAGTATAGTAGTTAGAAATGTTCACTGACATTGTATAGTCAAAGGATGGGAAACTGAAGCATGAAAACAGTGGTTTGAGCGTTTGTTTGTTTTTGGTTTGTTTGTTTTTTTTGCCTTTCCAAAATTCTGATACATAAAGTATAACCCATATACTTAACAGCTATGGTCTTATCCAAACCCCAGGTATGAATGTTATGATGTTGCAAAAGTGAAAGCAGGTTGAATTAATGCCAGTAATTAATTCCTGTCAATTTGTATAATGATATCAAGAATTCTATGAATATGAGTAGAATTTAAGCTTTAAAAAAAGTAAAGAATCCTTAAAACTTTCAGCTTGCACATGAAGAACCAGTTGCTAGTTTTCACTTTGATTGGGCTATGTGATAAATCATTTAGACCCAAATGTAGTCTTAAGAATGGCCAAACATTAAGTTTTTATTTCTCACAGCTACATGCCAAAAAAACCGGAAATTAAAATGGCTAATGCTATTTCATCCTTATCTTTGCTTCTTCCCAGCTGAAATGTTAGATGTTTACTTGGAAATACATTTCTATATGTGTTCAAGTGCAAAAAGCAGTCAGAAAGATGAGTGGACATGTAAATTAAAAAAATTCATATAAGTTATTCCTTATTCATCTAGGACAGTAGGAACTGGGGATTCTGAAACATTGAATATCTAATTAACTCAGAGTTATACTCAATTTACTGCTTTTTAAAAGAACAAGAAAAATGTGTTTAACAGTAAGTTATAATAACTATAATATTTTGATTCTGAAAGCTATTTGGATGATCATTTATATTATTTCTTAGAAAAATTGATTTATTTTACTTTCTAGTGGTTTGATTATGAATAAATGAAAGTAAATGATACTTGACTTTACATGGGTGACTGTGTCTTTCTCTACATATATTTCAATAAATGTTGAAGCTCTTTGAAATCAAGATCTCTTTCATTCAATTCCTACATACTCCTTGATTCCTGTTTATTTAAAGACTTTTAAACAAGTTTAATTTTCGCTTCATTTTAAAAATTCAAATTTTAATTTTTGGTGAAAACATATTCAGTGAAATAAAGTGACATGGAGCCTAAAGGAAATGGAGAACAGAATCCTCAACATTGTTCTCTCTGTAGGTTTCCAAGCACTGTAACCTCAGGGGTTCATTTTCCACATCATAAGCTAGGCACAGTGGCAGCTGAGTTCAACAACGATGCATGTTTACTAAGCAAAGAAAACAGAGATAGCTAACAGCCCATGAAGAAAAAGAATAGATAGCTAGATAGTGTGACTGAAGGTCACAAATAACTTCCAAATCCAATGGGTAGTTTTATCCATTCCCTCCTCTCCACCCCCCACATTTCTTTTCATAATTACTAACCTAAAAAAGACAACTTTGTGTTTTCTCCATTGATTTTTCACTGCCTAGAATCAAGCACAAGTACTAATGAGTAATGAAATAGCCCAAAGCAGACAACGGGGTGGAATAAAATGAATTTGATTAATCAATCTGTCCTGAATAATCAGAGGCTATAATACCTGTGATACATCTAAACAGTGGGGAGATTTTTCATTAAAACAGGACTTAATTTGGGACCAGTGTGTCTTGGAAAGGTCCTTAATTACCTCTTGACCATCCTCTGTAATCACCTATGTTTTACCAAAACTTACAATCAAGCTGAAATACAAAATAAAAAGTTGTCTTCTTAAAACTTTCTCTTTCAGGGACAATGCACAGCCTTATTTTTTGTCTGCCTCCCTGTCCATTCCTATTTTAGTCCTCTCTTAGACCTACTTACCTTTCATTGTGGGCTCCCAAGACTCCTTTCTCTCATTTTTCTGTTATACTTACATGAGACTAATTCCATCTGTTGGTTTCACTTGTTCCTTTGTGCTGACAAATCTGTATCTCTAGCTCTAAGACCTCACCCAGGCTATAAGCCTCTTATTCTACCTCTGTTTTTGAGGTTCAGGACTCCAAACCTGAAAGTACTCTCTGGTACTGCCTTCCTAGTATCTTCCACCTGATTTCTGTCGTCTGGGTCCTTGGTTCCAGTAGCCATCCCTGACTTGTGTCATCTTCCTCGTGCAGCCTGGGCTGCTGAGTGGCCTCCAGACTGGTGTTCCCGTCTTCACTCCCCTCCACCTCTAGTCTGTTCATCATACTGAAGCCACAGTGATGTTGTCAAAATGTAAATCTCAGGCCATGTCAGACCTTCCTCAGAACCAGAGGGGAGTCACACCCAGCCTCCTCTCATGCCCCCTTTGAGCTGGCCAGCCCCGGCTCTGCTCTGTCGTCCCTCCTCTCACACTCCAGTCCACATCATGGCAGTAGATTGGCAGTTGATCTTTTTATTGAATACTCTTTCTGAATTTATTCTTTGTCTGTTAGTTCAAGTTCATATTTCTCAGTCTGGTATTAAAACATGTACCTAATGTTTTTTACCTTACCTTCAGTTACTCACCATGCCATTACTTAGCTTCGGTAATGTCCATTTCTCACTGTCCTGTTCCTCACATTCATTCTTGCCCACCCTCCCGTACATCTGTACACCCATCGTAATACTCGGCACTTTCTCACTTCCGGGCCTCTCTCCTCCATTCCATTCTCCACACCTGAAGTAAAGTACCCTTTCTGTTCATTTCAGTGAATTCAAAATTGACTTTTGTTTTTCTTCTGTACTTGGATCTACTTTTAAAACCTATATTGGTTTCTCTTTTTTATATTTTTACTGTATGAATTACCTGTGCTTTATAATTTACTTGCTTTTGGTTTATTCTTACTAGCCAGTTGTTTCTAATATGCTTGTCAGTTCTCAAGATACTTTAATTTAAGGCCCTCAAGAGTGGAATAGGGTCTCATGTATGGCTCCTGGCAAACATTATTTACAGTAGAACCAATCAGATAGTCACTGTGGTTTCCTTGATTTGGAATTTTATGAATGTTACCTACATTTTTTTCCTCAAAGCCTCTGTCTTTGAATATTTAAGCCTTGTCTCTTTTCCTCCTAGAAATCCATTTATTAAACAACATTCAACTTTGTGAACCTGAAGAATTTTGACCGTTTCAAGTCTTAATGCCACACCACTACTCCTGCGAATTTACGACTGGTAACAATGACCAGAAGCCTGAAGTGTTAAAATGCCAACAACAAACCCTACCTTAACAGCTCTGGTCCTCTCTGTTCCCTCGCATTTTAATATATTGTTTTGTTTTATAACCACTCCTAAGTAATCTTGGTTCTTTCTTCCTTTTTTATTTTAATTAGGGAGGGTTTTTTTGTTTCCTGTTTACTTTGTGTACAACTACCTGCTTTTTATGACTCAAATGATCCAATGATAGTGAACAAAGCCAGCCCGGCTGGTGAGGTGCTGTTCACTGGAACAGGTGCTGTTGTGCGGAAAGAAAACGCTGTGACTAACTTAGGTAGTGTCTTTCCTCCTTCCCATTCCCACTGAACTCCCACCAATTACAGCAGATATTTACAGTTTTCGAATGGCAGTAAATACACTGTATGAGAAAATATTAGTACGGATTAAAAGCATTTCTTACATCTCAAAAACTTTCTAATGTTTTAGAAATTCATTGGGAATATCTTTTATGGGATCCCTTTTGACTTTCCAGTCCTGTGACTTTTTACTGTTAGTAGAAAGTCAGAGACTCCAGACTGGAGAATTATGCAGAAGCTCACTGACCACGTGCTGTGTGCGGAGACCCCGCCGCACCGCAGTGCCAACGCCTCTCAGACACGCGCTTCGGCAGCATTCCAGAAACAGGAGGGAGGAGCAAGAGGCAACGGTGTCTTCCCTCCTACTGAAGTATTCAGGCAGCTTAAAACCTTATTAGTGCTTTCTTTCTTAACATGTCCAAATTTCAGTACTTTCCATTATTTGGACATTTGTGTAGAACACTTGCTTTGTATTAAACCTCCTTGGGTACATGTGAAACTGACCTTTTGTTATTGAGCAGGTCTGTCTCTCTCAGATAGTGGGATTCACACAGGTTTGAGGGCACAGGGGAGAGGAGTGGGCAGGGCTGTGGTGGTGTTTGGATGGGCATCAGAAAACTAGACTGTTTGAAGCTGACACCGGAGATCTGATAGGGACTTATTAACTGTATGGATCATTTTCCCTTTGCTTTTGACCTGATGTATAGTTATGATGCCAGATTAGATTTATAGCAGCTGCAAGTTGTATTAAATGATATTTTGCTTTCTGTAATACTGTTATAAAATAAAGTTGGTTTATTCTCTAGCCTTGTCATTTCTTTTTTTAATAAAGGTTTAAAAAAATAAAATCAAGGGATATCTTCAGTCAAAGTCCTGTTATTTTGTGGGATGTAGCATTTTTAGTCTGTTATTCAGATCTTTGATAATTTGATGCTGCCATCATCACTGATTTCAAGTGGCCAAGGCAGTGTTAAAAGTTTGTGAACCTAATGTTTACAATGCCAGACTCCTCCTGCCTGGTTACATAATCCACCCCAGCTTTGACTAAATCGAGCCGAGCCTTAGAAATATTCTGGAATCAAATGTGGTTCTGTAAATATTTTCCATCGGAAAGCTTATATATATAACATTCGTATTTAAAGCAGAGGGTGATCTTGCCAGGGATTTTGAACAGTGTCTTTCCATACTGTTGAAGACAGGTGCAGCGACAGGAGGCGTGTCTGCGGCAGCTCCAGTGGGACAGGAGATGCCCAGGTCAGTCAGGGCTCAGGCTGGCTCAGCTCAGCACGGGCAGGGCGTGGGGCCCCAGAGAGGTCGCAACACCTGTGGGGGAACAATGCTGGTAACGTCACCTGTGACTACAGCAGCAAGGCTGTTGTTTTTTTAAATATTTTGTATTTATTACCAACTATTTCTCAGGATGTTATAATCTCTATAAACTGAGCTTTCAAAACCCCAAAGGATAGAATAAGAAAGGAGGTCCGCTAGGTTCACTGAGGGGAGACATCCAGGTACTAATTGAATATCAAGTCAAAAGCAACATAACTTGTGGGTAATAAGCAGTAATTCCTTTTAGTTGCACAAGGTTTTGACAAGTATTATTTTACGTAACTCTTCTAGCCATGCTGTGTAGAACACAGTCACAGCAGGGTAAAAAATAAGGTTTTTAAAAAATGTGTAGAGCTGGTAGATTGTTGGTATTTCACTATCTTGAGTAGTTTTTTCTTTATGACATCCTGTAGCATTACTTACTCATGGCATCGACCACAGTCCATGCAATAATTACCACCAAGAGTCTGGCAATGAAACAAACTAGCCATAACTACTGCCTAGTGTGAACTTCATTAAGTATGTCCTTATTTATGGATAAAATTATATGATGTCAGGCTACTACAGGAATAAGAATAATGTGAAGATAGGGAGGAAGGAGTGAGTCGTCGTTTAAATGAAACAACATTGGCCATGAGTTGGTAACTGCTAAAGCTGGGATTCATTGTATTATTTTGTCAAAATATCCCATCATAAAGGCTAAAAATGTCACCAAGCCCCATATTTTTAAACAAGTCCTTTCTCCATGTATTGCAGAGCAAACGTTGTTCATCGTATGGTGCTTGGCTCAGTTTCCACGCAGGCTTACCCACTTGCGTTAGCGATTAGGACATGTGAATGTCACCGCTGAGGCACTAAGAGTTTTTTCAGAAGTCAACACTGTTCAGGTATTTGCTGGGATTAGACCATGCTGGAGAGTTGGCCCCAGAAGAGAACATGACCAGCTGGCAAATCCTGACCCTTGGCCACAGGGTTAAAAATAGTGACCTATGTATATTTATGATGTCAAATTAGATTCATAGCAGCTTCAAGTTATATAAAACATTTGCTTCAGACACACTGGCCTCGGAATCCTACAGATAGACGTTTGAATCCCCTACTCTGAGTAACTGAGCCATGTGACTTTAGCGAAGGCACTTAAACATTGATAAGGTGAGGGTAATAATATAACCCAATATGGGGGTATTCTGGTGGTCAGATGAAATAAAAATGTATAAAATGCCTCGCAGAGCTCCTGGCACAGTAATGCCCTCAACAGAATGGTAATTGTCATGAATACTAACAAGACTATGTCCAAGTGAACCCACCACGGGCGAGTTTAATATCACCACCAGTCTGAGCTGTGTTCTGGGAGGGCTGTCCATCGTAGAACTCTCTCCTGTCACGAGGTGACTTGGGAAGCCTGATGGGAAGGTTTGGCTTTGGAGGTAAGGGACCTGCCTTCGCTGAGCCCCGTGTTGTCAGGAACCCTTTATGTTCCTCCTCTGCTGTGGAGGCAGCTGAGCTGGCTGGTGTAAGAGGCACAAATCCTTTCTTAAGATTCTGGTTGTAGACTTCCTAACCGCAGATTTCAAGGAGCTAAGCTTTCCCCCAGTATATGCAAAGCAATGGTTATGTGCATTTTTCTTAGAGATAAAAGATGATTCCTGGCTTTTGTCAAATTCTCATAAGTCTTTATTATCTAAATTGAAGGTTAGGAACCTCTGCTCTGGGTTCAGAATGTGGATTTGAGAAATTAAATGAAAAGAATATTTTAAAATTCCCAACCTGGAGGTAATTTTTTTTTAACACATGTCTCCATTCTGTCACTTATTTGGCAGCGTGAACGTCATTGTGAAAATTCTGACAAACTCAGAGGCCTCTCCTGGTTACATACTAATTAGTCAGAAAGCAAGAATCTCAAACGCATTTTGCTTTGAAAATGTTAACTTTTTATAAACAAATCAGAAAATTGATTTCTCAAAAGTGTTTAACAGGTATGAATTGTGATTTCCGAGACACAGTTTTGCCAAAGTACTCAAAATGTCAAGAAAAAGTGGTTCTTGGTATATGGAAGTGTTTATTTGTTTCTGCTTTTCCAGTTGCTACTAAATGGTATCTAGAAACTACTGGAGGCTATTACCTTATCGGTTTAATTATAAGTAAGTATTTTTTAAAAAAAGGGTTGCAAGCAATATTTCAGGGCACATAATGTGTGCCCTTATCTAATGTTCTGTTTTGTCTACATGCACAGTTTCAGGATGTGAAGGACAGGTGTGGGCTTGCAGTATCCCAGGACCACGTTTCCAGCAGGAGAGGTGGAAAGGTAATATTAGCTGCCTTAGGTTAGCTCTGTGGGGAAATTTTTTTTCCTTTGGTAAATTTTCATTGAATAAATGGCAACATAACAAAACTCAAAACATCCATTACAGTGTTTTATTGAAGGTCTCCTGTAGGGGAAACAATTGGGAATTCTTTCAGATATGAGAACATTTGAAGTGAGATTAGGAACTGTTGAGGTGAGAGCATGTATGGCCCCTGCTGAAAGGCTGTGGAGCACAGGAGGGAACAGAATAGATAGGACAATGTGGGAAGACTGCTGGCCTGGTCTAGGGCAGCCACGATGCAGGGCCAAAGCCGTGTGAGCTGGAGTGAGATCACCGCCTGTGAGCATGTGAAGAGCAAAGGCGTGGCCATGCAGCTGGTTGGCTGTGCTCTGTAGAGGTTTTGTCAAATTGAGTAGCAGTGCCTACAAGCAGATTGTAGTGAAACCCTGGACTTGGGAAAACTAACATGTGTCTGTCCCTCTCCACACACAGAAACCTTCGCAGATCTACTCGTGATTTTACTGGAAAGTCCTTCCTCTCATCTTACTCAACAGCAACAAAAGGTCTTGCTTTAAACTACTTGGTTATACTTATCATTGAAAGCATGTATGTTTAGAGCTCATCTGTTACCACCGTGGCTGGCAAGGCAGAGATGCTGGAGTGGCATCCACCAAAGCCAAGAGTCTGGCTTCCAGAGTACTCGCTTCCAGAAGGTGAACAAACGCTGGGGGCCTAACTGCAGATTTGGCTGGCAGCTGGGAATACGGTGCGTCCTTCCACGCCTTCTGTTCCAAAAGCATTTTTACATAAGCTGACTTCCACCAGGGGCTAAAAAGAGATCCCCGCAGAACTGAAAGAATATTGTTATTCCTTCCATATGGCACGGATACTGTTATTCTAATATTACCCCAGTCTGAAAGCCCCAGCAGACATTTTTATTGTAATCAGATGCAATAAAACATGAAAATGAGTGTCTTCAGTCAAAGGGTGAATTTCATGTTTTTCAAGAAGTGCAAATGGAGTCCAATAGCTCACTGGATGCATATGAAGAACTTGAGGGGAGGGGGAAGAAGCAGAAAATACTCAGCATTGGTGGTGGATTCTTGCTTTTTTTTTCCTTCGTCATCCATGCAATCTTTGGTGTGATTGTATGTCACTATGGGAAATTGGTGCATTTCTCACAGGTGACCAAATTCATGTGTTTTATAAAGTTAATCACTCTAATAGCTTCTTAGATTCATATATAAATATTGGAATATAATCAGACTTACACTTAGGACATGTTAAGCATCCTTTGTTAATGTTAACTAGAAAACTGGAAGCACAATAGTAATCACTATTTTAACAACCACTTAGAATTAACTGTTTAGGTTATCTGTGTTGTCTCTTTGAGCCCCCCCACCCCCATCCCCCTCACCCCCGCCATGCCTCAATCATTTTCTTCCCTTTGGCTTTTATTATGTTATTATGTCCATCTTTCTCTGTTCTCTGTTCTATAGCTTCAACTGTTACCTCTCTCAGCAATGTCTCTGAAAGAGAATTCTGTTGGGGAAATGTGGACCTCTCTCATTTAGAAATAGCTCCCTGATGTTTTGGTTTCAAAGGCAAAGACTTGAATTATTCTCCTCATGAGTTACAGGAACACTCTGCTGTCCTTTTCCCAACATCAAATTGCCAGTATTTCCAAGTCCCGTCATGCTGAAAGCTGCATTCGTGGGTGTAATATTGAAAGGCTGCACTTGTTTTGTGATTTGATAATGTGATTGTGAAAGCAACTGGGAAAAGGAGAAAGGCAAACTCAGGGCCAGAACGATGCTTGAAAAGGTGTCAAAGGCTGTCGACATGCAAGAGGAGGAGGTGGGAACCCTCACAGGGAACCCTGGGAGCCCCCAAGGCATTCGTGTTTTGCTGTCTATCTGATCTCTACCAGAGTTTCTTTACCTCTACAATAATGTGGACTTCCACAGGGTTATGTCATATGGATTTTATTTTTAAAATATGCCCTTCAGAGTAGACATAGTCCTTTAAAAGGTAGAAAGTTGCAAGGTGTCCAGTCCATAGAGCACCTCCAAGAAAAGCTTCTATTCTTGGTCCTCTCTGAAGAACTGCTATGTAAGCTGAGGCTCAAGTCTTCTTGGATAATAGCTGCCACTTGTCAATATGGTTCGGA